TTTTCCACTCATTTTCCATTCTTGCAATCAGATAGACACTAACTGATTTATGTGTCGTCGTTATTTTCTTCTTACATAAAATTATTTTTCACATGAAAACTAATTGTTGAATTAAGACTTTAATTAGACTATCACATTGACTCGTAATTAATTATACTCATCTGATTCAATATTAACATATAGACGTCATTAGTTCTTCAATCAGTTGTAATAAATCAAGTTCAAAGACTCATCAATCAATCAACTCTAAATCTGTATGACTCGATCACCACAACTCCACCTCTGTATGAACTCCATATCTATATGACTTGATCAGCTTCACATCTGTACGGCTCAACCACCATAGATCCACATCCTATGTATTAAAAAAGGGACTTGGGTCTGCTCTTTTCATTCCAACTCACAATTTCTTTAGTTGATTATTCACATAGTGATGTGTTGAAGAATTCCAAGGCTGCAAATTAGCCGAATTGAAGATTTTATTATTAATTTTTTTGTTAGAATTTGGATATGACCTGAATTCTTTGTTGAAAATAATTTGGAGTTCTTATTATAGTATACATTAAGAAGAATCATATTTGGAATACTATCGTTGAATTTTATTTAAATTTACTTGGTGAATTCTAATTAAAATTCTATTTGGTAGCCCATTGAGAGTAAGAATTTGTGTTGGATTTGAAGAGGACTTTGAGATGATGAAAATCAAGTTTTTTGAGTAAATGACCCGAAAGTGGGCGCCCGACAATTTTGGCCCGACGTTGGGCCCGAGGCACTGTGGCGCCGCCTTATCTGTTCGCTTCTTGAGCAATTTTTTCTGTCATTTTCCTTTTTGGACTCCATTTTTTACATTCTACTTCAACTACAGCTCTACTATAAGGGTTTGGAAGTCCCCTATATATTTCATATATACATTTGCTTCTTCATTAGTATTTAGATAAAGTTAGAAGAAGTTAAAAATGTCGTAAACACATAATCTTTGTATTATTTCTCCATATTATAATAAAATCTATATTCTCTACAAATTATATTATTCTTGTATTCTTGTGATTAATTACTTCATATTGTACTTAATCTCTTATTTTTTCATAACAAACTAGTATTAGAGCATTCATAACAATTGGTATCAGGGTTTTTGGTATTGAAATTCTTGGGAAGATCGATGTTTTTCATGATGGCAACAATGAAGTATAATATTCCGCTATTGGATTGCAATACAAGATTTTTTCTTTATGGTAGGTAAAGATGCGAGCGGTACTCACTCAGATGGATTTGGACGACGCGTTGTTGGGATTTGACAAGATGCCACAATTTGGTTTATGTAGGACAAACAATGAAGGGATCGAAAGGCCCTATCCCAAACGCATCTTCATCTTCAAATAATATTCTTCAGGACGTTTTGAAAGAGAAGTTAGTCGCTGCTTTATGGTTCAAATTGAAGCAATTATGCATGACGAAGAGTCTTACTAGCAAATTACATCTGAAGTAATGTATGTATTCGCATTATATGACAAAAGCTATATCTCTTGAGGATCACCTAACTGCTTTTAAAGAAATCGTTGCTGATTTGCAGATCTTGAAGGTCAAATATGAGAAAGAAGACTTAGTATTGATTTCGTTGTGTTCATTGCTCGCTTCATACAAGTCATTTAGAGACATGATTTTATATAGTCGTGATACTCTCACCATCGAAGAAGTCTACGATCCTCTATATTCGAAGGAGAAGATTGAGCATCTTGCATCTTGCATCTCATAGTATCTCAGATCAAGGAGATGGTCTTGATATTCATGGTGATCGTTCGAGAGGTAGGTCAAAATCTAACTTTAAATTTTGTATTATTGCAAAAAATGGCACTTGGTAAACGATCGTTATAAGTTGCACAATAAATTAAAGATAATTGCAAATCAATAATCAAGAACGTCATGAGAAGCAAGTATTGTAGAAAATCCTAGCGATAATGAAAAACTTCTACTTATGTCTCACTACAATTCCAAACTTGATGAGATTAGAATTTTGGATACAACTTGCATTTTCATATGTCACCCAATCGGAAATTATTTTCAACATATGAAAAAATTTTCAAAATGTGTTGTAATGACCAGTAATAACGACACACCTTCTCAAATAGTTGGTATTGGTCGAGTTAGAATAAAGATGTTTTATTGGATGGTTAGAACACTTGATGTAGTGAGACACGTTCCAGATCTACAAAAAATCTTATCTCCTTAAATAATTTTGATTCAAAAGGGTACATGTACACTATTGAAGGTGGAGTTCTGAAGGTTATCAAAGGAACCCATGTTGTGTTTACTGAACATAAAAAAATGCAATTTATATATCTTGTAGGGTGATACAGAATTTTCGAGTAATCAACATATTTTAAGAACACATGTAGATTTAGAGTTGGCTTTTGTACCATTGGAGTCTAATTTGAGGTCATCGTTTAAGAATACATCCCAGTTGAATTTTGAAAATATGGGTAAATCCATCTTGCCACCATTATTAACGGTGTCTTAGTATTCAATTGCTAGAAATAGACTCATTTTTCCTCATAGGTACAATTCTGCTGATTTTGTTGATGGTTTGAATGCGGTTAATGTGTTGATTTTAGCCAAGATCCTTCTTTTGATACATTGAATTGTGATTCTATTATCGAGCTTGTTTCAACCTTATTTGGTGGTCATTATATCACTTTTGCTCTTAGTTGGGGTAGTAGAAGTGAAGAATATTTTCAATTAGAATTGCTGATGGAGAACTCTGTTTATGTTTTTTATTGAAGAGTTCAAGTTTATTCCTTGCAATGGATTTTGTCTTCAAGTTAAATTTTTTTCAATGTTTTGTTCATTGCAATGAAATTTGAAAAGGAGATTGTTAGAATTTGAGCGTGACCCGAATTTTTTTAAGATAATTAAGAGTTCTAATTAAAGTGCACATTAAAAATAATCCTATATGAATTGCCATTGTTGAATCCTATTCAAATTTACTTGGCGAAATCTAATTGAAGCTCTATTTGAAAACCTATTAAGAGTAGGAATTTGTGTTGGACTTTAAGAGAATTTTGGTATGAAAAAATCAAGTTTTTGGAATAAAAGACCCAAAAGTGAATGTCACAGCGCCTTCATCATGGCGCCACGACAATTTTGGCTCGGCGCTACCCTGTCTATTCGCCTCTTGCACAATTTTTTTTTGGCATTTTCCATTTGAACTCCATTTTTGGTATTTTACTTCAATTACAACTTTACAAATGATTTGAACACCCCCTATATGTTATTTGTATGTATTTGGTTCTTCATTATGATTTAGATGAAGTTAGAAGAAGTTAAAAATATTGTAAACACATAATATTTGTATTATTTCTTCATGTTATAATAAAATTTTTATTCTCTGCAAATTATATTATTCATGTGATCAATTACTTCATATTGCACTTAATCAGTTATTTTCTCACTTAGAGGATTCTAATTTTCATAACAGTTTTATTAAAAAGAAACCTACAACTTTTCTTTTTCCATTTGGCAACTAATTACACATTGGAGAAATCAATTTGTACAAAAAAATTTCACAGAAATGCAACAGAATAGAGACAAACGGGGGTCCCACCATGCATTTAAAAAGAAAAAAAAAATGAGTGGACTCCACCCATATGTGAGCATTCTGTTGCAATTCTATGGAATTTTTTCTGTATGTGCAGCACTCCTCTTTTACATTATGTTTTGTTGTCCAATGAGTGACGTCAATAACGTTTTTCTCGTTCAACATCCTCAAATTGGGATATCCAGGTTTTTATTCATCAATTCCAATTATAAAAATTCTTTTGTTTTTTGTTAAATTGTTGCTATATTAAATAATCATACAAGTTTCATGCTAGAGTACTTTGCATGATTAATTGATGTAGCCAACACCACTCTTATTCTTAAATGCTTGTTTGGGAAGGATTTTTGGGGGGAAGAATTGATTTTGAATAGTGATATGATGAGAAATGTGTTGTTGTAAAAGAAGAAAAAATTATTGATGTGATGAAAAATATTATTTTATTGAAAAATGTGTGGTTGAAAATGAGAATTAATTTAATGTAGAATTTTAAAAATCCCTCCCAAACAGAACCTAAATGTAGAATATATGATAAAAGACAAATAACCATAATAATCTATGAGTAATTTTCGGTCACAGTAACTTTATTTTCACCTAGTTCAATCAAGATAATTAACCTTCAATTTTTTTCAATGAAGTAGCTACACTTTAATTTAAAATCAATTAATTAATTTCATCTAATTCTATCAAAGGTTGAATCCCAACCTTAATGGTCCCCCACCATTCCGTCCCTAGAGCATTGTGAAGGAAGTAAATCGCGAAATGTGCCTCAACAAATCAGGGTACAAGACATATAGTTGAAAAATGATGCTTGTTATTTATTTCAATAAAATTGTACTTTTAATGTCATTAAGCAATGATTGTGCACAATGATCATCTTTTACTGACTTCCACATACTGATTGAAATAAAGTCAAAATATAACTATCTGATTAAAATTATATTAAAGTGTAGTTGCCCGATAGAACAAAGTCAAAGTAATTGAACTAGAGTCAAAGTATAATTACCGCGAATGTTTTTTTTAGTATGTTCTATCAATCAAGCACCATCAGTTATCAATGATCACCAACAATGCAAGAATCTAGTAATGCTACCTGGTAATGCCAACATTGTCTGAAAATAGGTTATAATGGCTTCAGATGCCTAGAATTAACTATTTCGGAAAGAAACCAAGATCAAAACAATAGTATGAAGTAGCTTAAAAAGTAAAAGCACAAGAAAATTTTGTGTTTATCCCTCCTACCAACTTGCGCATCCATAGTTCCCCCGCCTTCTTACCCAAACCACTTCTCCTTCTCACCCTTCGGCCACTCAAGGACTATACAATTCATGTTAAGTTGCGAAATGTAGCAAGAACAGAATTTCATCAAGATGATTGAAGCAGGATGAGTTTAAATTTCAGCGAATATTCGTCATTCAACTTTAGCTGTGCCTCCACCAGGCATGCTGCTGCTATCAGCAACGGTCTCTCTCACAAACCTAAAATTGGCAAGAAAAAGAGTTGGCATCAATCATAAGCGGCTGCATAAGGTTCATGAGCTCAAAATAATTTATAACCAGTAAGTTAATAATTTGGAAGAAAATAAAGCTATCATGGAGGAAACGAATAGTACCTCGCTAATTTATCTCGAGATGATTGCAAAATGTAAATTGAGAGCATAAATGTAAGTATAAGACCTGAGCGTGCAAATTCAGCAGATAGTGAGAAATAAAAACTACAATGCCAAAAATCAATTTTGGGTATTTTGCCATTCCAAAAGCAAGCTTACCTGATCCAAAGAGAACATAGAATCCAGAAGCCACGTCAATCTCCGACTGCTCTTTCCTATCATAAATCAGAACGCGGCGTTAGAAAACATCAACTGTGATATGTGAAAGAAAATAATTGGAATCGATATAAGCTCAAACAATAGGCACAAGATGCAGATCAATTACACTAGACCAAAAACAATACCCAACATTCTGAACTTGTAAATGAAGCTGATGCTCAACTCAAAAATACACATCTCTAGCAATGGAATCTAATTGTTAATCCTTGACCCCAGGTATCAAACAAATTACAGCCAGAAATGAGCAATGCTTTTTATGGGACATTTTTAAACAGACACAATTTTCAAAGCACAGGCAAGCAAGATTCAAGTTCAGATCATCCAAGTAGGCATCCGTGAACTGCAATATATCAGCAAACTTTTAAAGAAATACATTCTCTATCAAAAAAGTGGATTTGCTTGCTTTTCCTGCATGGATTACTTTCCACTTGATATGTGTTAAATAAGTTAAAAACTATGCAATCAACAGGTAGATAAAAAAAATCAAATTATTGCACAAATTATTAGTGTTTTACATTCATAAAGTTATCTGGGAAGTGCAAAATATGCTTAACATTGCCCACACAGAATCAAACATAATACGCTCCTTTCCATGCATAGAAATTCAATATCCAAGTATTTGTTACAACAAATTGATTAAGCAATTGCCTACTTTTAAAATCACGTCATCCAATTACTAAGCTATTCGGTGTGTAGTACCCAAAAAATAAAAAATAAAAAAATATGGACTTTCATGTTAAGATAACTAAATATTCATTTCAGATCCTACACATGGCAGTAGATAAAGCCTGAAAAACATATTAAAAGACTGCCACAAGAAACAGAGATTTACCAAGTATATCTGACAAGAACATGTTTTGGCCATAGCTGCTGATCCCAAAATTGTTTATGAATGTCAGGATGAATTTCTAAATCTGTTCAACACAAGTATAGATTAGCCTGTGGCTGTAACACAATTTGCTTGGATGCAAGCCTCATCCAAAAGAAAGAACAAAAAATAGATCAAATCATCTTCAGCGACTAATAGCCTAAACTTCAAATACTCTTCCCACAAACAGAGACTCCAAAATAAGATAATAAAATTATTAAGACGGGAAGCTTTCTTGAGGCACAATTACATGCCCTCACAAGATTATAGCACCATAGCAAGAATAACTCATAATTGTGGTGACTAAACATAAACAAGCCAAGTACAGATATGTTTGAATTTTTACTCAATCATGTTATCACAATTATTGCAATCGAATCCGAACATGTGAATTTAGGAACAACTGCATGTAGTTCCGGTGTAGTGAGCACATTATATGTAAATTATGTTTGCACAAGCAAGGAAAAACATTTTTGTCATGCGGGAGAGCTATCAAAGAACCACAGGCTTTTTGTGCATTAGAATTAGGAAACAGATTAGCCGTATGCATAACTCCCTCCTTTTCTGTGACCTTATTTTCACTGTTTCATTTTATTAGAACTTCTTTTCTACTGTGTATAGTGCGATAGAACCATCATTTACCTGGGAAAAGGAAGTGGAAGAAGATAAAAATCAAATGCAGGTCAGGAAAGTATAAAGTAGAAATGCTAGCCAGTCCTCTCAATGTATTGAACTTGTAAGATGCATGGTAGAAGTAATATGGATGTGGATGTTGAGAGAAAGAAAGAGAAATTAAACGAGGCATTGAGAAAATCTTGAGCATGCTTAGCAGTTCACTCACCTGCCCCTTCATATGTTGTCAACAATGTTTGTTAGCATTTCTTAAACATCAAAGGGTGTCATCTTCTAAAATTTCAGGTCTCAGTTCACATATGAAAGAAATGAGGGAAGGGGAAGGGAATTTGCCCCTTCAGCTCCAGTCTGCCTCAGCCTCTGAAAGGTTTTTCAGCACAAAAAGATAGCCTATTTATGTCATTAACAGCAACCCCCTCCTAGCGACCTTGGCCACCCTCCCAACCCTCTCCACTCCCAACACCACAACACAGACGCTCAGCATTGTTATGGAGGTGACAGAAGAAGGGAAGGACAGAAAAAGGAAGATGAAATGACCCATCCCACCACCACAACACCGCTGATGGTGCTAAGCGTGCCCCCATCCAAAATAATGAGAGTTAATTAACCCCAAAGCTGTACATAGGAAAAGCTTTTAAATACGTGTATAGACTTCACTCAAAAGAACAACCGGAGAAGCCAAAAATTTCAAGTTCAATACGTTCGACATCAGAGGCCTAAGGTATCTATCAAAGGCTCCCACATAAATCTGAAATTATAATAAATAAATAAAAGAAGAAAAAATTACAATAATGGTTAAAATCCACAAAATAAAATGAAAAAGGCAGCAGCATATTTGTGTCTTCTCAGTTTGTGGGAAACTTATCATCTGAGAAGGTGACAAGAACATGGAATTTTGGAGGGGAAAAACCGCAAACTACTTCTTTGGGGGTCTCGGACTATGGGATTTGGGAGAAAGAGGTGGTTGGATAATTTAACTACAATAGGAGAGCTCCGAAAAATATGGCATGGTGCTAGAAAGGAACTTGATCAGTTTGGAAAAGTCTGATCTTCCGTGCTTGTTGCGTCCATTCAACAAACAGACAGAACCCATTTGCAGCATCTGTTTTGTTTCCAAAGTGAAATCTTTTTGATATTCCTTACAACTTACAAGAGGGGTTTGAGAGCTGGATGGGGATAGGTATTTGGTGGTGATGATGGCGGGGTGGGTTGGGTTGGCAGACTGAAGGGAAAGGAGTGGGATTTGAAGATGACTAGGAATTTTTTATCCTACGTTAGCCTTTTTCTGTGTTATTTTCCTTCTTTTGGTATTTACATTTTGTTTATTTTTAAGTTAAAAGACAAATTTATCTTCTGTCTACTTAAAACCCATTTTGGAACCGTCACAGGGGACAGTAGGCACTAGTTTATAACAAGTTGGCGACAGGGATGCCAAGAAAATTTGAAACAAAGGCTAGTGGTAGGAGTCCAAATGGGGGTGAAAAGGTTGGGGACAGTGACAATTATATAGACTACATTATACGTGTGAGTACTTATCTCCAAACTTTCATCAGAAATTTATATACTTCGAGATTTAAGAGTTTAACTAATAAGAATAACTTACAGCTGTGAGGCATATCTATAACTTTTGCAGTGACACCAAGCAAATCAGCGCCGGAGTACCTCTGCAAGATATGCAAGATAATTTGTAATTCACAGGAAAACTATCCCAATAAATTGACACTAGTTTAATACAAAAAACAATTCATGAAAATCAGGAACTTGCTAAACTCATATCCCATAGCACATTAACTCTAAAATTTCCATCATTCCAGTCTACATGGGACAGAGATCTTGAAATTGGAATTCATATGAAGTCAATTCAAATTTGAAAGAGACTGTTCTTATTCTAATTTAAATCCCTCACTCCAGGATGCAAAATGCAGTTTAGAAGTTATAGGGCAATTCCAACATATGAACATTGTTCAGTGCAAACACGGGGACTTACTGATGCAGAATTAATTAATTACTTAATTAAGGAATCAAAGAGTTAATTAACGTATTAGTCAAGGAGTCAAAGAACCAGTCAAGTCTTTGTTTAGTTTTAATTATGTTTTGAAATTTGTAGAGTCAAAAAAGCATATTTGTCTTTCCTAGATTAAATTAATATGCATTTAGTAGTGCTAAGAGTTATTTTAAATGTCTAGAAGTCATTGTTGACTATGTACTTAGAAGAAAAGGGGGTAGAACATTATTATCAAATAAAGTATCAAGTTTTATTTCTCTGGCTTCATAACTTTCAGGTTTTTTTCTTCCAGGATTCCGAACAATGATTGGAGTATTAAATTTGTCTACGTCAAGTGGTATCAAAGCTTGCTTAAGATCTATATTTAGAGCCAGATGGCTGGACAAGGTAACAATGCAGCTGTTGATGGAGTTACCAGGGAAGATTTTCATAAACTGCAGCAACAGATCACTCAGTTGTGCTCTAGATTAGAGCAGGCTGGTGTTTTAGGTGTCACTTTTCCTCCAGTTGGGGAACAAGGAGGAAGCAGCAGAGAAATGTGAGGAACCAGCCTCCTATTGGACAAATTCAGCAACCAGTTGATGAATCTTCTGATAAGGAAAGAGATGTAATTCCATTTCGAGGGCAGCATAGATTTAATCTTCTGATCAAGATTCACGCATCAAATTAGACGTCTCTGAATTTGGTGGAGAAGAAGAACCCGATGAAGTACTGAATTGGTTGAATGAAGTGGAGATAATCTTTGAATTTCTTGAGTTTCTAGAAAATAAGAAGGTAAAGTTGGTGGCTATAAAATGAGAGGCTATGCTTCTTCCTGGTGGCAACAAGTTCGAATGACAAGAGTTCAGTCTGGAAAAGACAAAATTCAAAGCTGGCCAAAGACGCAGCATATTCGAAGCCAATTTCTTCCACTAAATTATGAAGGAATTCTTTTTCAACAGTACCAATCTCTTCAACAAGGAGCACGCACAGTTCGGGAGTATACAAATGAATTCTATAAAATGAAAACAAGAATGCAATTAGTGGAGACTAAAGTGCACATGATAAATCGCTATTTGATGGGCTTGAAACACAATATTCGAACTTTTGTGGAATTACAGCCCTACTGGACATTGTCTAGTGCTGTCCAACTAGCAATGGAGGTCGAAGGTCAACAAAGGCTACCTAGCAATCGTGACATTGCATTGGGAAAATATCACATCCAATTTAATGCCAATTATACTCAAGGTGGCAGTGCTTTGAAGCCATCAACAGCCGTATATAATATAGAGGAATTTGGCTCTACCTCTAATTCACAAAGTCGAGGTCAAGGACAAGGAAGGGGGCGAGGAAGGGGAGGTAATATCGCTGGAAGGAGCAGCAATCCATCTCAATTTGTCGGTGGAAAAATAATCTGTTACAAGTGTGGAAAAGAGGTCACAAATCATTGGAATAACTTATTCGCTACTGGAGAAATTGATAGTTCTAGTAGACTTGAAGAAGTTTTTGAAGATAATGGAGGGGAAGATGGCTGCTAGAATTTGCTGAAGATGAAGACACTTATGAAGACCAAAACTTGCCAAATCTTGTAGTTCGACGAGCTATGTTAACTCCTAAAGTGCAGGAAGGCGATTGGAGGCGCAACAACATTTTTAAAACCAAATGCACTAGCTATGGAAGACTTTGCAATGTTATTATTGATGGAGGAAGCTGCAAAAAATCTAGTTTCGCAAGAAATGGTGACAAAATTGAATCTTGAAGTTCAACCACATCCAAAACCCTACTGCATAGCATGATTTAAGAAAGGAGGCGAAGTAAAGGTAACACATCAATGTTTGGTTCCTTTTTCGGAAAATCTTAATCCAATTCCTTTTTCAGAAAATCTTACTCCAATCGAGTTCTATATGATGTGATTGAGATGGAGGCATGCCATTTATCACTCGGCAGACCATGGCAAATTGACAATCAAACTATACATCATGGGGAAAAGAACGTTTATGCCTTCTATAAAGATGGGGTTAAAGTAGTACTCGCTTCAATGAATGATGAAGACTTTTCAAAGCCTAAAGCAGCCAATGGAAAATCTTATTTGAGCCTTCGGAAATTTTGGACTGAATTTGAGGATAAAGGAGTTGCTTATGTGCTATTAACAAAGGAAGTAAAAGATATCTTGCAAACTGTCCCTTTCGAAGTCATTGCTCTTCTTGAAGAATTTGCAGAAACTTTTCCTTCAGAATTACCTGTTGGTTTACCTCCAAACCAAATGATTCAACATCATATTGATCTAGTACCTGGAGCTATTCTGCCACACTATCAAATGAGCCCTAAGGAGCATGAAGAACTTCATAAATAGAACTACTCCAAAAATAGAACTACTGGAAAAAGCCCATTGGAAATTGTCTATGGTAAGCAACTAGTCCACTTTTATGATCTAATCACGATACCAGAAAATGGAAAGATCAATGTAAAAGGAAAAGATATGCTTGTGAAAATGAAGGAGCTGCACGATCGCATTAAGTTAAATATTGAAGAATCAAACTCCAAGTACAAAGAATATGCAGATAAAAAGAGAGATCAAAGCTTTAAAGAAGGTGATTTTGTGATGGTCTACTTACGCAAAGAGCGGTTTCCAACAGGCACATATTCCAAGCTCAGCAAAAGGAAAATTGGGCCCTACAAAATCCTTAATAAAATTTGGGATAATGCATACGAAATTGACCTGCCGCCACACTTGGCATACTTCCTACATTCAATGTTTCTGATTTGTATTTTCATTATGGAGAAGATTCGGATGGTCCCTAAACTCGAGGCGAGTTTCTTTTACAGAGGAGGGAATAATGCAGAATTAACTAATGACTTAGTTAAGGAATCAAAGAGTTAATTAATTTCTTAGTCAAGGAGTCAAAGAATCAGTCAAGTCTCTGTTTAGTTTTAATTATGTTTTGAAATTTGTAGCGTCAAAAAAGTCTATTTGTCTTTCCTAGATTAAATTAATACGCTTTTAGTAGTACTAAGAGTCATTTTAAATGTCTAGAAGTCATTGTTGACTATAAAAGAGTCTATGTATGGAAGAAAAGGGGGAAAGTATCAAGTTTTATTTCTCTGGCTTCATAACTTTCAGGTTTTTTCTGCCAAGGTTCTGCCTTAAAGAAATCTGGACTCCAACGGTGATTGGAATATTAAATCTGTCTACGTCACTTACCAAATGCATTTCAATCATTGGGACCTCCGAGTTCTTTCGGTTAATCACGAAAAGCCATGGGATATAAAACTTTTCTCTTCCAACTTGAAATGATCTGCATCACAATCATTTATTACAAATCAAAAGAAAAATCTCATGGCAGTTTTCATTTGAAACATTACATCATCAAAAAAGATTTAAATGAGAGTACTTAAGTATATTTAACTAGCTATCTGTCAGGATTTTCCACAGTATAAACTCATGATCCACATCCTAGTATAGGCCTGCAGGATCAGTCAAAAGAACTTTCACTTTTACCACAATAGGAAACAGGAACTGAAGAGACAGCCCAGAGCCATCCCAAGATCTAGATGGTCTAGATCAGTATGATCTCTTTGGGGCAACCTCAGAGTATCTAAAGTAACACAAACGTTCTATTGGATGTAAATGGTCATAGGAAAGCTGGGTATGGATGCTATAAAAAATAAGCCGATTGGTAAAGAAAAATACTACTATCTTATAGCTTTTAGCATGAAGTTTTGGAACTAGTCATTCACACAACTGGCAAATCATTCCCAGTAAGGAAATTGGATCAACTAGCAAATAAATTAACTCAACATCCCGATGTATAAAATGAAGATACAAGTATTATTGCATATAATTACTTTTGTACATATCTGGTAAAAGGGTTCCAAAACAACAACAAACTAATCCTTCTCAATAAATTTGAGGTCAGAAACACAAATCCTTTTGTACCACTCCATTCAATTCATTACCAGAGCTACTTGAAGATTCAAAACAACTAAATTCTTAGCAGCCACAAGAAGTCACCTTAGTTTTGGTCTACCTCCCTCTTCCAACATGTTCTCCTGATACCATGTCATGTAAAAAGGTTCCACCTAGCGGTGGCAACGAGCCGAGCCGGGAAAAAAAAGCTCGGGCTCCACAAGAAGTCACCTTAGTTTTGGTCTACCTCCCTCTTCCAACATGTTCTCCTGATACCATGTCATGTAAAAAGGTTCCACCTAGCGATGGCAACGAGCCGAGCCGGGCCCGGCCAAAAAAAATGAGGTCGGCCCGAGCCGAGCCGGCTCGGGTTTTTTTTTTTTGGTTGTGTAAAATCTACATTAAAGCATCGTTTGGTAACCATTATTCTAGAAAAAAATGCATTCTTTGTGTCAAATCACACCTTTTTTGTGGTTGAAAATGAAGGAAAAGTTATTGATGTGATGGAAAATATTATTTTATTGATGAATGTGTGGTTGAAAATTAGTAGAAGAATGAGAATGAAAAAAAGAATGGTTACCAAAC